GGCAACACGGAGGTTTTCTCCGTGGCATCCCAACAATTACTCATTACTCCATACACACAGAAGAAGGCAATGGCAAAGCACTTCTGGATCATCTGCCAAGAACGTATATGAACAGGTCCCAGTCCGAGAAAAGGATGGAAGGATCCTGTTCATATGGACCTGTCGTCAGACAGAACACTACAAATAAAAATAAAAGTAAATACAGGTCTCTGCTGAAAGTAAATCTACTAATGGATGTGATTTCTCATCTGTTCAGTCCATTTCATATCACTGTGCTTCATCAGATTCTTAGTCTTCTAATTGGCCGCTTTCCAGGATATTTCCCTACCGGAATTCTGCAACATATTCCTGATAGAGTGGCTAGAGCTTTTCATCAAACAGATAGTATTTTACACTAAACCATTATCTTGTACATAGTATGCACATTTTAAAGCAGATAGCAGTTGTAATTACTTTATTTAATTTTATTATCAGTTTGTAATCCATAATCGTGCTTGTCACATTCCATTGTGTCATGATTTATAACTAATTCCATTGACAACATGTCACTAAATAAATCAGGATATTTTTTTTTTCTTTTAACAGGTGACAATTAAACAAGCAACAGGCTTACCGCTCTCGCTCTCAAACTTTGTATTCTGTCAGTATTCATTCTGGAACCATCCAGATAGTATTGCAGTGCCACCTGTGGTTAATCCAGAGTACCCGGTCACTTGCTCTTCTGGACGTGACTCTATGACTTTCAAGTTTGATCACTCGCATGACTTCGATGTTCCTGTAACAGAGGAATTCTTGGAACACTGTTCTGGTGAGTTGTAAATATTTATGGTAGTACAATATTGAATTGTGTAATTTTTAATTGATTGCCTCGGTATAAAGATTGAAGCAGTTTGAACACAGTATGCTTCATGAGTTCTTCCCAGAATTTTGTGTGTTGTAATATCTAAAATAGTTTTTAATGTAAAGATACTTTTAATGCAACTCACATCAGTTGTCATAACCTTCTTTTATTTCCTGATGTAGTGTGTACACCATTTGTTACAATGTCTATAAATATTTTATTTTCAGAGGGAGCCCTCTCGATTGAAGTGTGGGGTCATCGCTGTGCAGGTTTTACCAGGTTAAATGAAGGGTGGGAAGTTGAACAACAGCAACTAGCCAAGGCTCGGTCATTAGCAGACAGGTGGGTATTATGGAAACCATTTTATAACAGATGGTGTATTATTTAATGATACTGTGAACTGACCGCCACGGTGGTCTAGCGGTTAGAACGCTGGCCTTGTAATCCTGGGGTCTCGGGTTCGATTCCCGGTGGTGCCCGAATTTATAACTTGTGTTGGGCAAGGCCATGGTCTAGGCAACACGGAGTTTTCCTCCGTGGCATCCCAACAATTACTCCATTCACACACAGAAGAAGGCAATGGCAAACCACTTCTGGATCATCTGCCAAGAACGTATATGAACAGGTCCCAGTCCGAGAAGAGAAAAGGATGGAAGGATCCTGTTCATATGGACCTGTCGTCAGACAAAACACTAATAATAATAAACTGTGAACTGCAGACTTGTACATCTTTACTGTATAAAAGTAAATTGGGGCATATTACAACTGTTACATTGAAGTGGCTTGGCACAGTGTTTTTTTTTTAAAAAAAAGCTTGCAGAGTAAGTTTTATTTTATACCTAAGTCTTCCAAGAGATCTCTTACTTTCGGTTTTGTATCTAAATTGAGAAGCTCTTCATTATGTGATTTATTCATCATCATATTGTGAACATTCTGAAGCGTATTTAATTGTGTGATACAATTTGCCATATTGACAGTTTATATTCTTGACCAGATGGAGTGAGCTTACTCGCAAAATTCAGCTGTGGGTAGAGATCCAAGAACTTAACGAGCAGGGCGAATATTCCGCCGTGGAAGTGACGACAAAACCTGATATCCTTACTGGAGGAATTTATCAGTTGAGACAAGGTCAGCAGAGAAGAATTCAGGTTCGAGTGAAACCAGTACAAAATTCAGGAACTCTTCCCATTATATGTCAATCCATCGTTAGTATTGCAGTTGGCAGTGTGTCCATGAGGTAAGTTTAGAATAATAATATGTTTATTTTATTGTATACATATTTTCATATTAAAAATACTTGTCAATCTTGTTATAACCAGAAAGCAGAAAAAAATTCCTGTATATAACACTATGGATTGATCGTACATAAAAATCTCGTGCAAGTGGACTTGTTCTTGGCTGTACTTGTTGCATTGGATTGTTACTGAATATTATATCGAGTCATGACAAAAAAATACTAATTCCTCATTAAGAACTGGAAAAGAACATTATTTTTCCTTGGATTGTTGAGAAGGGGGATTATCTTATATTTGTGTAAATGTGGCATATGCAGAAGTTTATGTAGTACGTGATTATTTCATAAACCATTAACATAAAATGCCCTTGTTTAATTTTTGTTATGATGTTGGTTATGGAATCGTTTTTGTAGGTCAAGATTACAGAAACCACTGGATTCTTACCAGGAGGAAGATTTGGCTGTTCTGAGAGAAAAGTGGAGTGATGCATTGATGAGGCGACGACAGTATCTTGATCAGCAGATACAGAGGCTAATCAACAAACAAGGTAGGTCAACATAGGTGCTGTATTAATGTGGCAAAGTTTGAGAGGTATCCAGTGGCATGATTTTAATTCTGGGTCTTATTAAAACTGGTCAGTTACTATGTGTCATCCTCCGTGACAGTGTGTATCTTGTTTGTAGTTTTCCAAAAGAACTGAATTTCTTTAGAATCGTATTGGCAAGCTTCTTGCGTCTTTCACTTAATTTGTGTGCTCTCTTTTCAGGGCCCCCAAGAAGGTGGTATTGTCACTTCTACCCTAAAGATGTAGGCAATAGGTTCCTAAAAACATTTCATGATTTTTTCATCTTTACAGAGTGTTACAACGTTGGCTGTACGTTTGTAAAAGATAATTGGAAACCCTCATATCTTGTGTAATATATCTGTAGTTTAAAATTATCCAGGCAGTATACAATGATAATACTCAACTGTTGCAACAGACCTTCAGAACTAAAGAAGCAAGCACTAGTATTCTTCAGTTCTAAAGGGTTTTGACGACGGTAGTTTACACTTAAAAATTATTCATTGTCAGGACTTTTTCTATCGCCTGTTCTTTAAAACCACGACATTTGGAAGGCTGGTTCGGACAGAATGACAATGAACAATTTTAACTGGTAGTCTTTTTTGTACAGATAAGTCGGAGCAAGATTTGGAGCGAGAACAGAGCCTTGTGGATCAGTGGGTGAGCCTTACAGAGGAGCGTAATGCTGTTCTGGTTCCATCTGCTGGCTCTGGCATCCCTGGAGCACCTGCTGACTGGGATCCCCCATCAGGAATGGAACCGCACGTACCAGTTTTATTTCTTGATCTCAATGGTAATTATAACATTTTTGTAGTTTCACACTTGAATAATTTAATTCTTCTGTCTGGTATGTTTTAGTCCTTAAATCTTGTATTTTCCTTATTTGCTAAACATCTACTTGAGCTTACTCCTGCTAGTTTGTTGGTAAAATGGATTGTCTTCTATGCTATGTAGTCTGGTAGAAGTTTACGAACATTTCAGAGATCCATCATCTGGATGATGGAGGAGCAACAATGACCTCAGAAACATTGGTAAACTTCTACCAGACTACATGGTGTTACAACCCAGAAGACAGTCATCGTCATATTCACCACAGCGAAAACCTCAAATCCTACTTAGTTAATTCCAGTTCTCGCTAATTGTCATCATGCACTGATATTTCCAGCAGGGCGAGTTCTTATTACAGAGGTTTCTCTACTCTTCTCTTTGCTTTACCAAGTTTTTTTTTCCTTGTGTCTACCTCTGCTCTTCTGTACCTTTCTGTTGAATATTTTTCTTTACTTGGCCTCTCTACCTCATCTGTGGTCTGTGTCCTTAATTCTTCAACTCTCTTATGCTGTTGCTACCTTCAGACCTTGCCTGATGTCCTTGTTAGAGATAAAATCCATCTTTTTTTTCTCATCCTCTCATCTATACGTAAGTCTCCCTGGTGGTCCATTCCCATTAAGGTGGCGACTGACTTGTAACATTTGCCTGTAATGTAACGTGTTACAAATCTAGCATTACACAAGTGAAGACAGCGAACGGAGCCGCTCGATGCGAGCCTCTCACGCTCGCGGGCGCTCCATCGTGTTGTCGGTTTTTTCGCGAATCCCTTTGAGTGTCACATTACAAGTCAGTCAGTCAGTCGAGCGGCGTCGTAACATTACGAGTAAATGTTACAAGTCAGTCGCCACCTTTAGACTTTCTGACTAACGCTACAGATATGTTAGATTTTCTTATTCTCCCCATACATGCTACATGTTCTGGTTTTGTTTTCCTTCACAATTTGTTCTGATCGACTCTCACAAATAATATTATGTGAAATGTACAGATTATGATGTTAGAGTAGAGTGTGGACTGCATTCATCTGGCTCAGGATAGGGACCAGTGGCAACCTCATGTGAATAAAGTAACAAACTTTCAGGTTCCATAAAAGGCATGGAATTCTTTACGAAGTGACTGTTGCAATGTTTTCTTAGTACAGGTTGCAGAACAACTGTGAATATTGTTAAGTTTTCAAATTTATTGTTGTCATAACGTTCATTTAGAGGTGACATGTAATATGAACTTGGTATTTCAGCTGATGACCTGTCAACACATCAATCTGGTGAAGAAGTTTCAGTGACAGGGCTCAATTCAATCTTGCCTAAAGAGCACGGTAATAAGTTCTACAATTTGCCTATTATTAGGCACTTGGAGAAGGATGTGTGTGCTGTGGCTGCGTGGGACTCCTCAATACATGACAGTATCTACTTGAACAGGGTCACAGAAGGTCAGTATAAATTTTTCTCTAACCCTTTCTGTGCTACGTTTTTAAGGTGCCGGTGATTTCCCCCATCGTTTCTCGCCAAAAACTGAAACGCAGGTTGTCATTTTGTGTGTCCGACTTGTATTTTTTTCCCGTTATGTTATGTTGAGTCTTGTACCTTGTGATGTATATACATGTTTATTGCAGCAAATGAACGTGTGTACCTAATATTGAAGACCACAGTTCATCTTTCCCATCCAGCAACGATGGATCTTGTACTCAGAAAACGTTTAAGTCTCAACATCTACAAGAGGCAGAGCATCGCAGATCGGATTCGCCGGAAGATCGTTAAGTCTGACTGCCTGAATCAGTGTGGGGTTACTTACGAGGTTGTGTCCAACATCCCAAAGGTTTGCATATCCTTTTATATTACTGAATGTAATGAAAAACAAGCTATGACTATATTTAAATTAAAGAAATCATTATTATAGAACTTATTCCTTTTGTGGCCAGTTTATTTATTCTGAAATTTTATTTCAGTGTAGCATCAAAGTTTGATATGGTGTTTTTTATCGAAAGATGAGAATTTGCCTCTGATTTCAAAAATTTGAAAATGACAGGTCATCTAAAATTCAAGTGTAATATATATTGATGTTTTTAAGATACATTGTATACTAACATTCCCATCCTATTGTGCTGCAAGTATAGCAAGTGAAAGAGATCTTAAAAGACATGAGCTACCACAAATTTGCCTGAAGTACGAGGCTCGTCCACAAAGTAAGTTTCCCTGGGGCCGTTTACAGAAACAAAACACAATTTCATGGAAATATTTATTGCAACAGATACAGCAAGTGTCCAGCTATTTTTCAACATATTCGCCACCGGAATTGAGACATTTGTCATACCGTGGGACCAACTTTTGAATACCTGTGTCGTAGAAGTCTGCCGCCTGGGATTGGAACCACTGTGTGACAACCATCTCCGCCTCTCTTTCATTCTCAAAACGCTGACGCTGACGCTGACCGGACAGGAATTTCTTGAGGTGTAGGAAAAGATGGAAATCACTGGGAGCGAGGTCCGGGCTGTAGGGTGAATGATTAAACACCTCCCAGCTGAACTTCTGCAGGAGACTTGCTGTCCGTCGAGCCGTGTGCGGCCTAGCGTTATCACTGACCGCACTTCACAGTCGGCGGGGGCTGGAATAAGAACCTCCATCTTCAACAGCTGCAACGATGCTAATGTGAGAACGCGGGAAGTTCCGTTAGTGCATGCGCCATGCTACGTCATTGCTCTATCACGTACGCACAGTCGCTTCGCGCAATATAAGGTTTGCTAGCTGTGGGACGAGTGGGAAACTTACTTTGTGGACGCGCCTCGTACACTGATGCTATGAACTGAAAGCAGTACGAGAAAAATAAAAATGTGTATGAAGGCCAGGCACCAGTTTTCCTGGAGTACTAATGAAATTGAACTGGAAGCAGTAATTTCCTATGAATATGCATCACAGTAGAGATGCTGAAGTTGGGGACATTGTGTTTCCCTTGAAAATCTTGTAGGAAATTTGAAATTTACTATATTTTTCACCGAGTACACCATCTGACAAAAGTTAAGAATGAGGAAAACATTTGTGTGAAAGTTAAACAAGAATTATACATCCTCTTAACCATTAAAATCAGTTTCCTCCACTCCTTTAGGAGAGGAAACTGTCTTTCTGCCATAAATCTATTAAAAGTGAGATATGTCCAGTATTTTTGTGGTAGTCATTGGCAAGGTGATGTAGAATTTGACGTGTAATTTTTGTTTCTGTAGGCAAGTGAAGAACTTGAGGACAGGGAGTCATTGGCTCAGATTGCAGCTTCTGGAGTTGACTCGTCGCTAAGCGATGGGGAAACATACATAGGTACGTTTGATGTGATTTATTTCACTAACATGGCGAGCTCATTATGAGTCAGACTTCCACGCAGTTAGAGAAATGAGAGGAAAATGTATTCTTTATTGATTGCGTAATGAATAAAACAGGTTTGGAGAGAGGAAGCAGTGTGAACAGTTCTTGAGTAGAAATTGGCTTATTGTTAACAAAGATATAGATTATAAAGGAATAATAAGTTATGTTAATGCTGTAGAATTAAGGTCTGTATGAAAATATTTGTAATCGAGTTAGATATAAATGGAAGGGAGGAAGGGATGGGTAGGCTCTAGTTATAAGAATGAAGATTGAATACCAAGAAAATAGCACTTTTAAAGCTTCATCTTCAACAGTTAAAAGGCAAATAGTTGAGAAGACATTTGGAATTTTGTCCTGCAATAGAATACACAGCTTCCAAATGTTGAAAAGGTGGAATTTTACTGTTCAAGCTTTTAAATATTAAGGTTTAAATGTTGGGTTTTGTATTTCAGAGAAATATACTCGTGGTGTCAGTGCTGTAGAGAGTATTTTGACGCTAGACCGACTAAGGCAGAATGTTGCCGTGAAGGAACTCTTACAGGCTCAGGGACAGCCTCTGATGCGGAAAACAGCCAGTGTGCCGAACTTCTCACAGGTAAATCAATCAAGCCAGTTGTCAGACATAACCTCATAGTTGTATACCATTGCCACGTTTGTAATGTTTAGTATATAAAATTGTTTACACAGAATTTCTTAAATGTGCCTGTGATCCTTCTTCGTGTTACATTTCTTGTATCTAACTGCTCCATTTCGTAATTTACCTCAGAACAATATATATTTTATGCTGTTGTCTCACATTATTTTAACATTTTAAAGAGAAACTACTGAAATTACTAGAAAGAGCTGAGCATTTTTAAGACTTGTTACCACACATTGACATGGTAATACTATAAGCTTTTCTTTTGCAAGTTTTCTGAAGTAGTGTAAAATTGTTTGCTTAATCATTTTAAGCCGTTTCTGTGTTCTGTTTTCATGATACTTGGGAAATCATGAGTAATTTGAGTTTGTTTGTGAGTTGATTATGGTTTATTCTTTGTAGATTATGAGGTTTGACTCGTCACTTGATATAGGAGTTGTACGGTCAGAGAGCGCAACAGACCTTAATTCTGAGTTGATGAGTGGATCTGGATCGAGGGAATCAAGAAGCAGACCGTCAACTGCACCTGGTTATTGTAAAGTTCCTGGTGACGGAGACCACATCTCACCATCTCCAAAACCATTTGGCCTCGGTGAGTACACAAACAACCAATGGTGTATCTTCCTTCATTGTTTGTTAAGGCACATTATTATTTTGTGAATGTACTCTCAATCTTTCTCATCATGGTCTCTCATGTACACCTGTTTGGGAATTTTCAAATCATTTCCGTTAATTGCCTTTCTTTGTTCTGAACTGATTATGTAAAGTTCGCAGAAAGTTTCTACCATTTATTTCTCCTTGTTCCATATTCACATTAAATGTTATAATTTTGTAAGTAACAGTATCTGATAAGTAAACTTAAAATTGGATAATAAACCTGTGTTTCATATCATGAGAAATGTAGTGCTTTTAATTTTGGGTGACATATATACAGCAGGATTAGAATTTGAATTGCTGAATTTCATGAACAGATGGTAGATGTGAACTTATTCACTGACCATATTCCAAAAGGTATGTATGTGATGTCCATGTGAGAAATGTATGTCCTGGGTTTGAACCCCCTCTGTGCTTTTGTATCGATATAACTTGCTCAGTCATTCACTTTGTCACTGATTATATCTGAGTAATTAGGTATTTGACATGTCATCCATATTGGAAGCCCATCATGACTTGAATTTCATTCTCCTTTGAAATTAATATTTATGATTTCAAAATGTTTGTTTCTAAGATGTGTTTTTGAACATGAATTATTGCAGTGTTTCTGTGTTAATTTCTGTCATAATATACATTACAGTTTTATTCTCATGTATGTACCAAATTACAGTTGTTTCGTTAAGAATATCGTATTTGGAAATTGTTGTTCAGCTTTATGGTGTTGGGTGTTCAGGTGGATGATTTGTCATTACATCTCTGGAAAGAACACTAAAAACTATTGCCCTCTGTACATCAGTCTGTATATCTTCTGTGCTTACAAGGTATAAATGATTCATTTAGCTTATGTGCTTGCCTTCAGGTCATCCAATTGTTTTCATTTGTCTTACAGAATAAAATTATAGCCTTTTTCTTTATCTTATTTGTGTAATTTAATATACTGATATTAATTTTACTGAATTGCATTGGAATGCACCATTCAATTTTGTTAGTTCCAATGGAAGAAAGCTGGAATTATGATTAATATAGATACAGTAGAAACATGGGCATGTATCTGAAATTTAAATTCTTTCAGTTTTTAATAGCAATATTTGTTTCATTTCAAGATTTGCTAAAGGTGATGTTCTTATGGAAGGTTATACTGTGATACATGCGTAAAATCGTAATTATTCATTGGATGACGAGTGGTTAATTTCCTTAGTTTTTTTAGGGTATTATACATTTTTATTCTAATATTTTGCTGTTTTGTGAGTACTTCCACCAGAGAGTGCTGGTAAATATGCTCCAGTGTTCTTACTATTGCTTTGTTTTGTAATGTTTAAGAAAATGTTGTCTGGGATGAGACATCGAGTTGCAATGCCTTTCAAATCTAATGTGTCTCAGTGGTTCTATGTTATGTAATAGATTTCTTATCCCTCAGAAACATTTTCTTTCTTACCGAGTTGAGATTGGCTGATTGCCATACTGATCGTGAAGCACATTTTATATTTCAGACATTCATTCATTCTTTCCACAAAGTCTTCCTTTCTTTTCTTTTTTTTCTGTGATGCAAAGGAACTCATTGACCATCTGGCCGCTTGCTTCAGTGTTTCCTTTACCATCTCTTTCTTGTTGCTTTTGTTTATATTTTTTGTGTTCTCTGAACGTGAAGTTGTTCTTGCTGAAGGTCTGATGTTAACTTTGGGCTGTGTATTTTTTTCTAGCACTGCTATTGTTCATCACATAATACAAAACAACATTTCCCAGTACTAGACATTTCTTCACTTTATAAATTTTAGTATTCATATCTACTGCACTATTAAATTAAATTAACGTCATCTTTTTGCCATAAAAACAATCCAGGATTCCCAGTAATTTGTTACACCTGAAACGTGCAGTTAATGTACTAGGTAAACAGTATTAGTTTTCGAGTTTTGTTTGTGAATTTGCTATTTAGAGTGCATTAATTTCCAATAGAACTTTTCTTTCCAAAGGTTAGTGAAGATACAAACCTTTTGGGAAAGGAACTAGAAATATATTTTGCCAATTTATGGTAAATCATTTGGACTTTATAGCCAAAAAGAAAAAATTATTTTGAGAAATGAAGATGAACATTGACTTTAAGTATGCTGTTTCTTACCCTTTTTATATCTTAATTGTTATTATATTTGTACCATTCAACATGCATTATGGTATAAAAAGTAGTGCTGATCTTTTTAATACATAAAATAATTTAATTTTGAAGAAAGTAAGAATTCTGAAGAGACAGCCTTGAATATTTGGAAGCAAAATGTGTATATCTGTAATCAGCAATCACAAAAAGAATAGTAAATTTGTATTCTGGGAATCCTAGCTCGTGCTTAATCAAAATAAAACACTGGAAAGGGAAAATAGAAACTAAAGGTAGGAAATAAAATATGGCTGCAAGTTCTCTTTTATTACTCTGACAATTTTCTTTTGTTTTGTTCTGCAACCTAGGCTCCATTCTCTCAGGTAAAATGGGGCTTTTTTCATCTGCTAGATTGTTCCTACTCAAACTATCCAAAATAGTGCAACATCATTGTCGCTTAAATCAGAACAGAAACCTCTTATAACACATTCCCCTTTGCTGTGTTCACAGTATTCTGATTATACTAGTTTGATTTGTGTATATTGTTTTTGAATATTAGTTAACTATTCTTGCATATATGTACCATGCAGGCTTCTAATTACTATTTTTAAAAACACTTAATAGTGATGTCAGTTCTGTGTTTCCTACAGTAAAACTGCCTCTTACACAGGAACATAAATGTGTGAAGTATAGCACTGCCTCTTACACAGGAACATAAATGTATGAAGTATAGTCCCAATTTTCTGGCCTTCGGTTATTCAACATTCTGTTTTATCTGACGTGCCGTGACGGAACCCTCCATTTTGTTAGCAGTCAACTCGACATGTGGCAGAAGGTGGTCGAAGCTTTATTTTTTTTCGTTCACAAGGACGAAGAGCAACAGCTGACTGGTGACGACATAGTACCGCTTGTGAATCATGCTGGCGACAACGATGTAGAAGACGATAATGAAGGGCCAGCGAAGGCTGATAGAATTTGCTATAGTGAGCGGTTGAATCTAAAAGGACCATACATTGAGGTGTTCTGAATGTAGGGGAGAAAATGTGGGATTTTGTATTTTCGTCAGACGGCATGATGCCCATAAAATTCATGGATATCCGTTCCTGATTTCCTGTATATTACGGGAGATGACCAAAGAAACCGATAATGTTGAGAGCAATATCATCGCGCATGCGCACAGGATTGTGGCTAATAGCTTCATCGTCATCCTATCTCATGAATTAGGACGGCTGCCAGACGAAATATTTTCTCGACTTTGGTATTTGTATTATAAATTGCACACTGTAAATAATAACATTTAACATAAAATCTCAGCACTAGATAAATACTGAAATGCTTCTTTTAAAGAGTATAGAGCACATAAACTTACATGAGGGAAGGAACTATTCTCTTTGGTGGTCTTACTTCGTCAAGTGGACATGCTTTACACGTGGGGATATGGCAGATGACATTGCAGTGCTCTTGCTACTATAAACGTGAGAACATGTTTCTCATACTATAAGAAATGAACAGAATTATCACATGCGTTGCTGTTTTCAATCGTGAATAATTATAACAAATTACTTTATATGCGAGTTTGTTCGTTGAAAGGCAGTTTATAACGATATTATTTTACAAATATAATTGTCTCTGGTTCTGTGAAGTTTCGTATGAAATTGTTGAACGTGGCACTCTTATAAGTATAACTCCATACAGAAGGTATCATCGAAGTCAGGAATTTTCTTCCACAAGGTTGCCTACACAAAGTGTGACAAAAATACCCTTGTCGGTTAGACAGACTATATGTGTAGTATCTCTTGGAAGCGTAACATACTACATCTTTACTAAAGTATAGTCTTATAGGCATTTGGTTGGCATGTGCTCGAAATTTAAGATATTATAATCTTAGGTGTAAAGGGCTCGTCTTCCATGCATTTGGTCTCAAGTTTGAGACCAACCACATGCTGTCTAGATCGTTCAACTTTAATAAAACAAAACATTTATGCGTGGTATACCAGATCCTCCTCCCCACTTCTGGCCATCATTTGTACCTCGACTATCATTCAGCATTGTGTTCACTAATAATGTTGAATAACTGTCACTTCACAGCTGAAACTGTGTGACTCATCTTGAAGTGCTATAAGGTTTTCCCACAAGAAAAATAAAATCAGCATAACTATATTATAACAGTTCCTGCTGGGAGCCAGGAAGTGACAGTTACATACAACTTTATCAGTGGGACCAAGTTGGAAGTTCTACCTGTCTAAAACATGACTGAATCTTCACTATAGCCAGGTAATCAAAGACCAAAATCACTGAACACCACATTTGCAGTAAAATCTACTAGTTACAGTCTCTCTAAAAAATTATTGCTTCAGATGAATCAGAATCGTTTTCCTCAATTTTTTTTTCCGTTTTTGGAACTCTAAAATTATTGCTTCAGATGAATCAGAATTGTTTTCCTCAATTTTTTTTCCATTTTTGGAACTCAGTTTTGTAGTACTGTATAAAACATTTCTTGGACAACGTTTGACTTGCAGGCTTTGGTTTGCTAAAGTTTTATATAAATGAAAATAAGGTTACGATTCTTTTCTACCTAGTATTGTATTCAATGTCTTTTCTGAGTTTCTTCTGTGCTTTTACTATTTAGAAATGATATATCTGAAGTTTACAAACTGATACCCCAGTTGAAATTTTTAAGACATCATTTTTTTGTCCTAAATAACATTATTTTATTCTACTCTTGTGATAATGCCTTAGAGCTATGATGTGAACCATATTGGATAGTTTGAAGTGGTCAAAAGTAATTTTGTTGCTGGAGTATTGTTGTAGTCGACATTTTCTTTCGTTATGTTCGTTACTGGTTTGTGGCATGGTTGTGTCGGCTTAGATTTGTAGAGACATGCTGACTTGTGATCTGTTTTCGCATTTATCTCCTCCTCAAGTGTGAATGTGTGTTCTTTTTATTATTATTATTATTTTCTTTCACCAAACTCAGTCGTATGAAGTGGTTATCGTTACTTGTTATTGCAGGGTATTCAGGTAGGCCATGTGATAATTAAATGGTGGACTGCTGTGTTATGTGACAGGATTTCTTAAAATATGCATACAATTTTCATTGTTTATAAAGTTCTTGTAATTTTTTTTTTTATTTTTTAACTAAATTGACAAGTTTGTATGCATAAAATTTTTTTAGGTTTTAGTGTATTGTTAAATATTTTAAAATTACATACATATTTGAAGCAGCAATGAAAATAATATGTGAATTTTTCCAGAATCCTGCTAAGTTTTTGTTATTGTACTTAATTAATAAATTAACACCAATTTGTATAGTGACTTTTCAGACAGTGCTTGAAGTGTGCTTCTTTTTGTGTGTGGTAACATATTTCATTACTAGCTGATCATGATGGTTATTGATGGTAAAGGTACATCAGTTGCATGATTATGTTTTTCTGGACAGTAGTCGTAAAACACGGAAAAGTAGGTGGCAAATCCAGAAAATGGTCAAAGATATTTCAAGCACTGCTTCTATTGCCATATCCCAATCTTACCATTAAACATCAGTCATTTTGAATATCTGCAGTCTATCTGTGGGTTGTGACAAAGATTATTATGATTTCAGGAACTGAACGTCTGAACTGAATGTTTTATTTCCATGTTGATCTTCGTTTTCTCATTTGCGTTCTGAATATGATTATACAATAAAGCATGTTCCAAAATATACTTGAGAAAATGAGCCATTAATAATGTGACTAACAGTTCGCCTGGCCTTGCGTCATAATGACACACTGCCGAACCCTTAACCCTGGAGTTGGTCCAGTAGGCAGACCTTCATTACAGTGGTTTAAATCTCCTATTTCTGTGTGATAAAGGTTGAAAAGAAGAGCATGATTTTGATTGTTGTGTGTGAGCTGTACAAAAAAATTAATCGGTAACTTATTCTTAATAATTATAATATTCAACATATACAGTACTTCAAACTTCATGTGTAATATTTCAGACCTGTAGTGTATGTACCAAGCTTTGGTCATATCATGTTTAAGTATGGAATTTATTATAATGGGAGTTAACCTTGGCATTTCCGTATGACATATGGGGGGGAAAAAAACATGTTCAGAATTGTTAGTAATGTTTCATGTGAGGAAAAATTTGGACAAAATTTTGATTTACAATTCATTGTCACAGATATTGTTTTATTTTAATCCAAGTTTAGTAATAGAATATATGAATGAGTAGAAATAATATTTTTGCTTTTAGCGACAGTTGAAATTATTTAATATACTTTCATTCCACTTAACTATAGAATGGTGGAGCATTTATAAATGCCTTTTATTCCATATATGTGTTGAGAGCAGTATACCTTTGTTGTGTCAGGAAATACACAAATACTAGAAAATGGGCAGTAGAAAGATATGTTTTATGTAGTTAGTACAGACATGGGCAACCTGATCTAGTTTTCTCATCATGGCCACAAGCCATGATTTTACCTATCAAGTAAGTTATTACCAGTAGTTGAAAAAAAAATAACTTCAGAATTTTGTTAAACATAAAATACCTTTAATAAAGTCTTCTCGGGCTATCAGCCATGTTAGATGGTGATTAATTGCCATCTAACACGGCTGATAGCCCGAGAAGACTTAATTAATGAAAGCCGCTGTGAAAGCTTCACATCATATAAGATACCTTGATACATTACAGATCAGCTATGCTTGTGAATTAAATAATGAGTAAAAATTGTAAAAACTGAATGTGGTCCACATAAAAGTGACGGTGGACTAGATCTGTCCCCACAGACTGCAGGTTGCCCATGACAGGTTTAGTGAATGTATTTTGGTAGCTAGTTTAAAGTCACAGAGGACGATTTCAGCGAGGTAAAGGAACCTTCAGTTGGTTCTTCTGAAAAGAGAGATGGGTTTCACACTGGATCTAAAATGGAAGTGTAATTGCATCTTGAACTGCATGAATATAGAATGTTTCACATTTAGACTCTAGTATGGCTGGATGATAATGTTTCTATCGTTTTAGACAGTAATTTAGCGTGTTGTTTGGTGTCTGGTCACAATAGAATAAGACATTTATCATATCATATAGGTTCATTGGTTTCCATAGCGTTACGTTTCTGTATAATAATTGCAGTATTGAAATTGCAGCATAAAGCTAGCAAAGTAGCGTACACAGTACAGATGTTGGTAAGTGCCGTGAAACTTAATTTTAATACTGAATTTTTATAGTTGATGTTGATACAGAAAACTTTAAACAGTGTCATGAAAACAGTCTAAAGTGTGAAGCGATCTGCAACCTAATGGCCTCAGCTGTGACATCAATCTTGGTTTCCATCATTGTTTGTTCGAATAAAGTTTGTCTCTTGTCAGTGCTGGAATGTTTCATCATCATAGCCTTATGT